AAAAAGAGCGAACCGACAACAAGAATATGAAACAATAAATAAAGCAGTTAAAAGAAATGTAAGAAGAGACAAAAGAAGATTTGCTGAACTGTTCAAACGTCGTAAGATCCAAGACAGGAGAATTACTTACTACAACAAATGAAAAAATAGGGAGATGGAAAGAGCATTTTCAGGAGATGCTAGGCACGCCCAGGGATAACGCAGATAAAATTGTCGAAACTCCACAGAATATAGACTTGCGTATATCTTGCGACGCCCCTTCCACAACAGAGATAATAACAGCTATCAAGTCTCTGAAAAATAACAAGTCTCCGGGAATCGATAACATTGCTGCCGAAATACTTAAAACTGATCCGCATCTAACTGCTGAACTTTTGCTTCCCATAATCCAAGAGGTGTGGGAAACAAACCGCATTCTAGCGGGCTGGAAAAAAGGCATCATTATTAAGCTTCCAAAAAAGGGCAACCTCACACTATGCAAAAATTGCAGAGGAATAACCTTGCTTACCGTCATAAATAAAATCTTCACGACCATCATACTTAAAAGATTAACAAACAAGGTTGAATTTCGAGCTAATTAAGTAGGCTTTAGATCAGAATCCTCCTGCATAGACCACATTAATACTGTGAGGCTAATAATGGAACAATCGGTTGAATGGAACACACCCCTATACATGGTTTTTATTGATTTCGAGCGTCCTTTTGACAGCTTATCTCATGATGCGATATGGAAAATTTTAGAGCTAAGAAACATCCCGCATAAAATAATTTCCATTATAAAGTTACTGTACACTGAAGCGAAATGCAGCGTGACACACAATGGGATCGACAGTGACGAATTTGACGTACTTACTGGAGTCAGACAGGGATGCGTGCTTTCTCCGTTTCTTTTTAACATAGCTCTAGACTATGTTCTCTCCAAACTAGACTCTGACACAAGAGGGATACAATGGACGTTAACCACACGCCTAAGCGATCTAGAATACGCCGACGATATCTGCCTGTTAGGACAAAGGTTCCAAGATGTGGCTGACCAATTGGAAACACTTTCCACTGAAGCCAATAAAATAGGTTTGAAAATCAATATTGGTAAAACCAAATCCATGAGAATAAATGCAAGAAACAACACGCTATTCACCATTAATAACATGCAGATTGAAAATGTGGAAAACTTTACGTATCTTGTAAGTGTCATAACAGAAAGCGGAGGTACAGAAGACGATATTCGTATGAGGATACGAAAAGCGCAACAAGCTTTCAGCATGCTCAACCCTGTTTGGAGGTCTGGAGACTACACTACGAGGACAGAGATCCGCATATTCCAGTCAAATGTCATGTCTGTACTACTTTACGGATGTGAAACCTGGAAAGCGACCAAAACCCTTACAGACAAACTGCAGGTCTTTGTTAATAAATGTCTACGAAGAATTGTTCGTATTTTCTGGCCTAACATCATCAGAAATAAAGACTTACTACACCTGACCAAACAAAAGAGGGTAGTAAATGAAATAAAGTCCAGAAAGTGGGGTTGGATCGGTCACACACTACGAAAAAATAACTCCAGTATTGCAAAGACTGCCCTAGAGTGGAATCCCCAAGGAAAACGAAAAAAAGGTCTCCCAGTACAAACTTGGAGAAGATCCATCATGGACGAGATAAGAAAACAAGGAAAGTCTTGGAATGAGGTGAAGGCCTTAGCGCAAAATAGAACCCGATGGCGCGTTTTCACTGAAGCTCTATGCTCCACTTAGGAGTTCAAGAACCTTATATATATATATATATATATATATATATATATATATATATATATATATATATATTCCTATAGGTTTGTTTAGTCATCCTATATAATATTAGTTTTCATTATGTACATGTATACAACTTATTTATTTATCTATTTTCCATAGCTAATTATTTTTAGAAATTATCAAATAGAAAAGATTGTAATTAAAATGTACTTACCTCTATTAGTTCTATCTGTACCGTCCTGAAATAAATTGTATTGGCTTTGGTAAAAATAAAAATGCGAAAGTTTAATACGATTCTTTAGTTAAAGCACAGAAAGTCTTGGAAAATGTTTCATTACCGAAAAGGGCGGAAATCTTACGATTTTATCGGTGGTTCGTTCCACAAAAGAATTTATCTCGTGCTTATTTCGCATACTATCTAAATTACACTCGGTCTTTATCATTTTTTTAAACCTTTTGAGAAAAATGTTATTTTCACACTCGGAGATAGATCTCAAATGGACGGAAATTTCTTCCAGGAGTTAATAAAATTCTCGTTTTGTTTAATGAGAGAGAACAGGAAATTGCCTCCATTTTATACAATGGCCACGAATATTGCTAGGTATTTGACGTAAACACATGTTGTTTATCTTCAACAAATAAACTAACATCATTTGCTGGCAGTGTACAGGTCCGTTTTACGATAAAAAATATTACGATTACTATTACTTTACTGCAAAATGTGAATTGTGTTTCTAGATTACTCGCTAATATAGGTTAATCACTATTTTTCTGCATTACTTAATATAATAAATGTAAGTATATAACACAAGTAGAAGATTTAACATCTTTTACTTTAGATATCGTAAGAGAATTTCACTAATATTATCATCCTTTGCATACAATATTATCATCATTTCAATAAAGTTATCATTTTGCTATTATTTAATATTTTTTGACATTTTTGTTTATTGATTATCACAAGTATTCCTTTTTCTTTAAGTCCCGCTCCAAGCGAAACAATTCACGTATATTGCATAACCATGAAATTTACACCTTCCTATATCAGTAACTCTCTCTCTCTCTCTCCCTCTCTCTCTCTTTCTCTTTGTCAACCATTTTCCTTCCACTTCTGAATGTAGGTCTCTCCCAATTGCTTCCATCTTTCTCTATCTTGCGCCAATCTAATTCACTATTTGCCTGCGACTGCTCTTATCATCATGGGTCATCTACCCATATTTTTTGAGGTCTTCCCACGCTTCTTGTTGTCGTCTTTGGTCTCCATTCTAGAATCCTCCGTGTCCGCTTATTGTCATTATATCGGGCTATCGAGCCATTTTATTTTTGTAATTTCTTCCACAACATTCCTAATCTTCGTTCTACGTCTTATCCCGGTGTTTCTAATCTTGTCTCTCAGTGATATTTCAAGCATGATTCGTTTCATTGCTCTTTGCGTTATTTCTAATTTTTACGATTTTTTGGTAGGTGCTACTGTCTCCAAGCCGTAGGTACAAACTGGTAGTATGCATGTGTTATACACCTTTTTCTTTTAGTTTACAGGAATGAGGATGTTTTTAAGAAATAGGCTAGTTTTCGAAAACCAGTTGTGTTTTTCTTTTAATTTCAACATCTTGATTTGGTTTTCCTAGTTTGATGAATGACCTAGATATACATAATGTTAAGCATTTTCCCCATGCCAGTTGTGTTCTTCTTTTAATTTCAGCATCTTAATTTGGTTTTCCTAGTTTAATGACATTACCTAGAAATACATAATGCTTAACATTTTCTATAATCATTATCATCATATAACGGGGGTCCTACGGCGATTGCCGTTTCCCGCATTTTAGCCTCCAGCTTTTCCTATCTCTCCAATCTCCCTCTTCTTAGCATCTAGATTGCATTGGTTTTGTAATTTCTCTTCTCCAGGAATTTGGTGGTCTTCCCCTTTTCCTTCTTTCTGGTGGAACATACATTAAGGCTTTCTTTGGCCACCGCTCCTCCTCCATTATCATCACGTTACCATATCATTGTAATTGCCTTTCTTGTATTCTATCTATTTTCTATGGTATGATTTTGTATTGTTATATTTGTGTGGTCTCGGCTTAGTATTTTTGTTTTACTGTAGTTCATTTTTAAACCTACCGCTCCTGAAACTGCATTTAATTGTTGTAACATATCATTTAGCTCTTGGATATTATCGGCTATTAAAACTATGTCATCTGCGAATCTCAAGTGGTTTAAGTATGATCCTTCGACGTTGATACCCTTGTTGTTCCATTCTAGTTTTTTTAAAATGTCTTCTAGAGCAAGGGTAAATAGTTTGGGAGAGATGGTGTCTCCTTTTCTTACTCCCTGTTGTAGTCTTATGAAATTAGTTTTTGTGCTTTTCGTCCAGCTTTATCTGCATGGTAGCATTTTTATATATATGTTTTTAATTATCGGTAACATCATACTTTAAATGCTTCTAGGATTTTATTATTCGATTGTCCTAGTATCTTAGGCTTCACTCCATATAAAAGGTTGGAGGAAATATAACATTGTTTCATTTTTATTCTTAGACTTATTATAGTTCAAGAGGTGAAAAAGATGTGGCTCTTCGACAGATGCAAACATAAATTGCAGTGAATTTTTTGGTGCCAATCAAAATACTTGGCAATACTTGTTAATAGTTTTAAAGTTTTCTTTGTTTTCTTAGGTTTTTCAGTATTAGCTTCCTTTGTGCCTTCATTTAAAATCAGTTCTATTTGTGTTTTAATGATTTCCTCATACACTGGTTCTAATTTTACAAGCAACTGGCAGTACTGGCATAGACGTTTAATTAGAGATCGTTCTGCGCATTAGCTTTTGAAGACTTAAGTAGAAGGTACATATAGATATTGGTAGAATAGTTTAATATCAATTCATATGTAAACTGTACAAAATCCACAGCTTTGCATTGTGGTATCTCTCCAGCTTCAGCTTTTTTCAAAACAGGATGTAAGTATAAATTTGCTACAGTCATTATATTTTAGAAATCTTGAACAAGCTTAAAGAAGTCAGGTGATTTTTTCTGCATAATTTGCAGTTTTTGTCTTTTAGACAACTTTGAAATATCAGTTTTAATGATCTCTTCATTTTGTTTATCATCTTCCTCAGCTTATTTTGCAAATATATCCAGGCCAAAATCATCATCCTCCAAGTGCTGGGCTAATTGTTTCTAAAGGTTTTTTGCTTCTTCTTCCTCATATTCGGCAAGCTGAGCATCTTTTCCTTGGAAACCTCCATAATCACCATCTACATAATCAGTTTGATAAAACTTTCTTTTATCTTTATCTTTAACTTGTCTTCAGCATATTCTGATTTATCCCCTCCAACACCAAATACTTCTTGCTTATCGTCTGAGAACTTTTTGCCTCGATTTCTTACTTTATCAAGTAATATTTTTATATTTTCTGTGTAGTCCTCGTCAGAGCCTGATGCACTATTATCCTCATTATTATCAATCCTCATTTCCCTTTAACAAAAAAATTACAATTTTAAAATTTTTGTTACAATTTGGGATTACTAATCATAAAAAACAAAAAGTAGAAAAAACCGTTTTAGTATTTTCAAAAATTGTAGTATCACTAGTGATACTTTGAGTCTGGACTGACAATAAAAAAGTAATATTCACTTATGATATTCATTGATGAAATTTAGTAAGACAATTTCTATTGACACTACGACATAAAAAAACCTTGTACCGGGCACATTTGACAAACGTCAGGTTGTGGCATCGAAGATACCTGCATTTTGATCTTGATTTTTGGCTTTAAATAACGAATTCTGGAAGATATTTAGCTTCCTTTGGCCATAAGCGTTTATCAGGAATCGGTTCAGTCTTTCTTTTTTTTTTCTGGTTACATTTTCATTTTTTTTTTTTCATTTTTGTCGGATATGGGTTTACTTCTGTTCTTGGAGTACAAGAGCGATCTAGCAAGCGAAAAATTAAATAACAGATTATCTCAAATATGTTTTTTGGGAGTTTCTACAGCTTAACATTCTTTCTTGTATTGTAGCCAACTAGCTGCAGCACAAAAATCAATAAAGGCATACATCGTATTGTCCCTTTATTTATTCTACTACTCATAGGGTACTTTGACATAATCCTATCCAGCAAATCTACTCCACCCATGCTTTCATTGTAGTGCTTAATCACTACTGTACGATTTATTTCTATGTATTTATCTTTTACTGACCAGCGTCTACACAATCCCAAGAGTTCAGCTCCACATGCTGATGAAGCCTGAATATAGATTGCTTTGAAATCAAACCATTTTGTAACAGCTATTTTGTTTTCTTTGTTAACGAGCATATCTTGGGAGCCTCTTGCTGGTTTTCTCAGATCTTTATCTATCCTAAACGTCACATCAGTTTTTGATATTCTATTTTCCATTAGTGTTCCTGTTACATAAAGCTTCCGTGAATGTAATGTATCAATTAATATTTCTGTCGTAAAATATTTGTCAACAAAAATAGATACTCCTACTGGCAGAGTATTTGTAAGTTTTAAAACAACCATTTCTCCGATATCCAGACGTTTTGGTGTAAGTACCAAGTTGTATTCTCTGCTAGGATAATTTTGCCTTAACCTTTATACATGTGAAAATCAAGTGAAATCCCCTCCGTAGTCGTCATGATAAAATTCTTTAATAATACAGGGTTAGGTTTTGCTCGCACAAACTGTCTTATTAATATTTTTCCATGAAAGGGAATCATTTGCTTATCGACTGACACTTTTTCAGTTCTTTCATTATTCAGACAAGTCCTTTCAATTTGATTCAACAATGGTCTTACTTTCCAAAATCTATCATTTTCTTTAGTCTCCTTGGTTACAAAATTATCGTCAATAATTGTGAGTCGTGATCGAATGGCAAAAAAAAACGATTTCTTGACATGTTTTCTGAAACTATTGGTACCCTGGTATCTATTTGCCAAAACATTCGGATTTGGGGTAAATTATAAATACCAATATGCAAGCAGCATGAACTAAACATTTTTAATTCTTCTGTAGAAGTCTCCAAAGATTGTCCAGCTCTTTTTACTTTCCTTATTTGTGTACAACGCCATGGATTTAAAAAAATTCTTGTCAATGTATTTATTGAAGTAGTCAATAGGTTTTGGAATATTTTCGGCATTCAAGGGATCTTACACAGAGGGTTGATATTGGGCAAATTGTGGTGTAAAATGTGGTCTCTTCCTTTCGTTTCTGTCTTTTTTTGCAATAGAATTTGCCGTGTTACTCTCCTTTAAAAGCCGGGTTGCCAAGAGCATGTCATGATTTGAATCGTCGTCTGATATGTCACTGATATCAACGTTGTCGTCACTCCTTTCTTCTTCACTTTCTTTCTAGGTTTATCTTATTCATCATCATCATTATCACTGTCAGGAGAAAGAGAAAGATCCAAATTAGAGTCATCTAAATTCACACTATCTGCGATTTCCTTAGTTTAGTCGCATTAAGCGGCCCTAAAAATAAAAAAAAATTTAAAATACACTATTGTTTAGGACCCAAGGTATCATCAATGATATCTTGTGTTTAGGACCAAAGAACTATTGTACCTGTCACTAATTTATCACAATTACAATTTAGTACCTTTTTTTAACACTAAAATGCGCTGATTATACACAGAAACATGCTAAATATTGTGTACTTACTTTTATTATTGATGATTTTTTAGCGCCTGCCATGACGTACTTATTTACAACAAAAGTCTTACTAATTCATTTCAATCGAGACGTATGTCACGGTGTAATTTGCTAAGTATTGTAAATGCTTAACTTCCTCTTCTCATGGCGCCGTCTCCTTTCGAAGATTGGCGATCCAAATGGCAATTGTGGTTTTGGAAACTGCTGCGCGAAAGATTTCTGCGGATGAGCAGTCGAACCATCTCCTTAGGTCTTTCAGCCATGAGTTCTGGCATCTTCCTACTGATCTACGGACCTACGGATCTACGGACGATAATTACGGGCAGAATAACTGCGTTTGCCGTCGAATGTGAAAAATAATTTGTTGAACCGTAGTATCATATATGATACCTGGGGTTCGAGGAGGATATGGATAAAAGGTGTGATAGCTTTAAGTTACACAAAAAAATTAAAGAAATGACAAGTTCTAGAAAAAGCACAAGAACAAGTATCAATTACATTTCATCATCATAATCAATGAGCCCTGAGTTGTCCATTGTTGAACATAGGCCTCCTCTAGATTTTTCCATCTGCTTCTGTTCTGCGCCTCTGCTATCCAATTGGTCACGATTCTTTTGAGGTCGTTGGTCCATCGCGTTGCGGGTCTTACTCGGGTTTGCTTGTCAGCCCGTAGTCTTCACTCAAGCAATTTTTTTTGTCCAACTGTCGTCTTTCATTCTAGCAACATGTCCTGCCCATCTTCATTTTTGCCTTGTAATATGTCCGATAATGTCTTCCACTCCGGTTCGTCTACGAACTTCCTCGTTTCTTATTCTATTTCTTAAGCTTATTCCAAGCATTGATCTCTCCATCTTTCGTTGTGTCCTTCTCAATTTTTCGGCTGATGTTTTTGTGAGAATTAAGGTTTCTCCTCCGTATGTGAGGACTGGTAGAACGCACTGGTTAAAAGCTTTTTTTGGATCGGTATATTTGTTTTAAATACGTCTCTCATTTTTCCGAATGCAGTCCAACCCAGACTTATTCTTCTGAGTAGCTCGCAAGTTTGGTTGTTTCGCGTTAACCTTATTTCGTGACCCAAACACTCATATTTTTCCACAAGTTCTTTGGGCGACTTTTCGATTTCTATTAGCTCATTGGGAACTAGGTTGGTCATCATTTTTGTTTTTCCGTAGTTTATCTTTAAACCGACTTTCTGGGTTACTTGCTGTATTTGTTGTAGCATAACTCTGGCTTCTCCTAATTTGTTTGTTATAAGAACAATATCATCGGCATATCTGAGATGATTGAATATCTTTCCATCGATGCTAATACCCTTTGATTCCCACTCTAGCCGTTTACATACGTATTCCATAACTGTTATAAATAGTTTTGGCGACAAGGTATCTCCCTGCCGCACCCCTCTGCCAATTTTGATCTTCTCACTCATGCAATGGAGGTTAACGGTTGTTGTCGCATTTTCGTATATATTTCGAATAATATTTGCATACCTGTGATCTATTCTGCATTCTGATAGTACTTTTAAGATAGCAACTGTTTCGACTGTGTCAAATGATTTGTAGAAGTCGACAAAGATAAGAGCAAGGGGTCTGTTATATTCGATAGACTTTTCAACTAGAGTTTTAAGGCATTGCAAATGGTCGTTTGTTCCGTGTCCCGCTCGAAATCCTGCCTGTTCTTCTGATTGATAGAAATCGAGTTTTGCTTCTAATCTGTTTGTCAGTATTCGAGTAAAGAGCTTGTATGGTGGTTAAGCAAACTAATTGGCCTATAGTTTTCGAGATCTAATTTATCCCTTTTTTGTGAAGGAGGATTGTAACCGATTACAATCAATTAGATCTAAATGCTATTTAATGATAAAGGAGAAGAGAACTGTCCTTAAAATCTACAGAGAATATCTAACCACCAATATTACGGTAAGAAGTCATTTTAGGCGACCAAAAAAAAGCAAAGCAGCTGGACCAGACGTTGTGCCCATTGAATTATTAAAACTCATCGATGAATATGTTATTAATGCAACAGGTGAATTCTCTATTCTAGTATATCAGACTGCCACAATCCATAGACAATGGCCGCAATCGACCTTTGTGGCAATACTCAAAAAGTCAAGTGCAATATCTTGCTCAAATCACAAAACAATAGTTTGAATGAGTCACACACTGCAAACTCTTTTGAAAATAATAGACGGCAAAATTGTTAAAACTTTGAATATGAAATTAGTGAAACACATAATTTGGCTTTCTAAATAGTATGGGCACAAAGATGGTTTATTAAGCTTGATTGTGTTGGCCAAGAAAGGCCATTTAAAATTCAAAAAATGTTTGTAGAGTTTAAAAAGGCATTTGATAAGATTCAACAAAAAAGTTTGTAGATATTTCAAAAACCAAAGCAGAATAAGCATTTACAGTCGTGATGTGAAAATTATTTCTAATCTATATTAGAATCAAACTGCCAAGGTAGAAATTGACAATTAGAACACTCGAGATATCAAAATACAGAGAGGATATTACAGAGGGGATATTATACAGGGTTCCGTGCTGTCAGCTTTACTCTCTTTGTCTACAGTGAAGGGATAATTAAAGAAGCTCTTTTAGGTTCAATAGAATGTATATCTATCAATGGCGAAGTTTTGAACAACGTGCATGCAAATGATACAGTAATAATGACGGATAACAACAACGATATACAAAACCTAATGCAACGCCTTAATGAACGCTGTGATGACTACAGACTAAGGATGAATTTGAAGAAATCTAAATGCGTAATGAAGATTAAATCAGAAGTAAAGTGATTGTAGAAGATACTGTAATTAAGATTGTGGATAC